TGGTTCTAGAAATAAATTCTCTGTTGGTTTTAAATACTGTTGATTTTTATATGCAATCTTGTATCCCATAACCTTGCTGAGATCTTGTGTGTATCTCGTTGAATCTGGTGGATTTTCTATGTATATGATTACATTAATTGCAAATAATGACAGCTCGAGTTTTTTGGGTTGTTTTTTGTTTGTTTGTTTGTTTGTTTGTTTTTGCATTTCTTAACACTAATTACTTCTTTGTCTTTGCATGTGTCCTAAGATAATGGACATCCTTGTCTTGTTTCTGATTTAAAGTGAATATACTCAGAGGTTACCCATTATGTTTGCTGTGTTTGTTACATAACCTTTATCAAGTTAGGTGAGTTCCCTCCTATTCCTACTCTGCTGAGTAGGAATTTTCTTATTGATAAATAGGTATTTACTTTTATCAAATACTTAATGTCTTAAATGTACCAGAGGCTTGGGCCACAACCTTCACAGAGAGTATCTTAGATGATTAGTGTCATAGCACAGCCAGGGATTCAGAAACCTAGTCTTTGTTTCCAGTAAGTTCACTAGCCAACTCTTGACCTTTCTGTATCTTGGTGGTCTAATATGTAGACTAAGAGGTTTGGGTTAAATACTATAAGATCTTTCTTATTTTATCACAAATAGAGATTCTTCAAGGTCTTATGTAAATTTTGAATCCCTTTTATCCTTAGAAATGGTTCTCTACTTCAAAATGTAGTTGCTATTTTTAATGCTTTTCATAATTAAATGTTACTTTTGTTCTCTGGTTTTGAAATGATCTAGTCTTAATATATTCTACTAGAGGCCCAGTGCACGAATTCGTACACCAGTGGGGTCTCTTGGCTGGGCCTGCAGGATCAGGCTGAATCCCGCTCTTCGATATCCCCTGAGGGGTCCTGGGTTGCGAGAGGGTGCAGGCCAGGTCGAGGGATCCCATCAGTGCATAATCAGGGCTGGAGAGGGACATATGAGGTTGGTCAGCCAGGGAGGGACCATGGGAGGGCTCCAGGGTGTGTCCATCCCATCACACTCAGTCCCAATTAGGCAGACCTCAGCAGCAAGCTAAAACGAGCAATCAGAGTGTCTGCCCCCTGGTGATCGGTGCACATCATAGCAACCTGTTGACCAGTCAACTGTCTGCCCCTTGGTGGTCAATGCACATCTTAGCAAGTAGTTGAGAGGCCTTAGCATATCATTAGCATATTACACTTCAATTGGTTGAACGGACAACCGGACACTTAGCATATTAGACTTTTATTATATAGGATGAATGATTCAATGATGTGAACATAATAACATACTGAATATTATATTCTACTCAACTTTACTCAGCATCCAATTTTAAAGTACTAATCAGCAACACATGCCATGTCTCTGGTGCCCTATTGCTTTTATCTCCATCCAGTCCATGGTCATTCTTCTACTCCAGACTCACCAAACTGCTATCTCTTGTCCCATGTAGCTTGATGACAGCATTGCCAAAGCCACGCCCTTCAGTAATCTCCCTCCAGACCTGCTCTGTCTTCCGCATTCTGTCCACATAACTGCCCAATCCAGACACCTCAATTCTTCCAGTCTCTCACTTTCCACATCAAACACTAAGCTCTCCAGAAGCTTCCATCTAAGTGGAACCATCCATTACCCTGCACTCCTTGGCCAAGGCCATCATCTTCTTCTATCTCAGTCATTGAGTCATTGCAGTACCCTTCTAACCGATTTCTGTGTGCTCGCGCGCGCGCGCGCACACACACACACACACACACACAGAATCCCCATTTTATTTTCCACAATGTTCTTTCTAAAAGAAAACCCCAAACGCTTTTGTGGTTCCCCACTGCCTTCAGGATCAAGTCCAGACTATTTGACATGCTTTGTAATCGGGCTGACTGTATAACCTAGCATTCGAACTGGGACACTCATGAGAATGAAAGGGGCTCTATTAATATTAGTGCAGGAACAACAGGTGTAAACTCTCCCAGGCAAGTCAAGATGCTGCTCACCTGGCCTAGGAGGCCCTTTGTTACCTGACCTCTGCCTGCCCCTCCACTGCACATTGAAGCTTCACTTCCATGAAACCCTGACATCCCCAGACCTGCCAGTCTTCTCTCTCACCACCTATCTGCACTCTGAATGCTTTGTGGCCCTGTCCACCTCCTGTGTCTGGCTCCCTGAGGACCAAGTCCCTCTCTGTGCCCCCTTTACTATGTGATGTCATCACCTGCTTATCTGTGTATTGAGCTTACAGATCCGCAACTCTTACCATCTTGAACAAGACATGATCAACAGCAGACTGTGTTACTCCCCTTGCAGTCCCCTCTGCCTCCCGCCTCAATCATTTCAAGTTACATCTCCACCCACTCAGTCTGCCATGGTGGCTGGTACATGAACTAAATGTTTATTTAACTGAGTTGAAGAAGGTAGACAGTTGGCCGTTGCAAAAAGAATATGTTTTGTAAATTCATAAATATGGTTCACTGCAGGTAGCAATTTAATTTTTAGCTTATCTTGTATGCCTTATCATAGATGTTTTCATACTCATTCATTCATTCAGCATTTATTTTGTATGTCTTTGAGTTAGACATGACATCTAGGCACTAGGGATATTGCTGTGCACAAAACTCCTGTCCTGGAGAAAATGAACAATAAGCAAACAGTAAATAGATGTTAAGTAGCATTGCTGTCCTGGAGAAAAGTGAAGCAGAGTGAGAGAGATGACAGAGTGCTGACTTATGTAGGGTGGCGTGGACACCCTGCTGAGGTGCCATCATAGCAGACCAGAGCCATAAGAGGAACTGGAGGAAGAAGCTTCCAGGCCCTGGGAGCAGCAGGTATAAACGTCCTGAGATAGGAAAGTATTGCCAGCTGTGAGAAAGTGAAAAGGTTGTGTGGGGCCTGCTGGTATGGTTAGGATTTGGGTTCTATCCTGAGTACAAAGGCGTAGCTGGTGTGACCTGAATATGAAAAGGCTCTCGGGCCACAGAGTGGAGAAACATATATGGGGACCTGGGCAGAGGGGGGAGCTGGTTGGAAGCTGTAAAGACTCTGGCCAGAAGAGATGGAAAAGACTTCAACTAGGATGGTAGTGTTGGAAAGTGTGACAGGTTTCAGGAATTAGGATTTGTTTTCAAGATAGACTAATAAGATTTGCTGATAGAGTCAGTGTGTGCTCTGAGAAAGAAAATTCAAGAATAGCTCTAGGGTGTTGTCTGAGTTTGGCTCATGGGATGAATGACATAGTTGTTGACATTGACACAAAACTCCTGTTGGTTGAGCCTTATTGACTGAGGGTGATAATCCCCTAGTTTAGTTCCCTGAGGTATTTGTGTAGAAGGACAGACAGCATGGAGGCCTGGGGCCTGGTGCATAAGCAAATGAAGAGCAGATCATGTGCCAGAATCCTTCCCCTCAGATCCTTACCCGACCGAGAGCCTCCAAAAATCCTACATTGGCAGGATCTAAGCAATTTAACTCGGCTCATAACTTTCCAGACTTACTTTTGTTTACTTTTGACCTCCAAGATATTTCAATGATAGTAAAAACATAAACAGGATGTTAATTCATTTATTTGTTTCATCCTTCTTCTCCGAAGGTTATGAAAAATCATTTTCTAGTCCTTGATGCCACTTTTATTTGAAGATAAACAGTGCTGGAGAGAAGAGTAACAACGGCATTACAGCATATGCCACTTTTGGTTTTATGGCACCTAATGATATTAAAGAGCATATGGTTTGATGTGGGATACAGTAAAAACTGCTTAATAATCATTCTACTGTATGCTTTAGAGCTCTGCCCTTGGACCTGAGCACCCAGGATAAATGAGATCTTTTGTCTGAAAGATTTTTTTTAAATTGGATGAATATACATTCTGCAAAGGGGCATAAATTATCGCCCAAGATATTTGGGTTATTTTTCTTAAGCCCTTTTATATAAGACATGTTTCTCTTGTACCAAAAATTAGAAGAAAATAGGTCACTCATAAGCCATTTCCTGCTGATCTAAACTTATTCAGCCAGTGAGTGATTGCATATCTTGTGGGCACAGCCGTCTTTACCCCACTTTCAGCAGCTCCATCTATCTTTCCATGTATAGAGAGAAAGATGAATTTACAAATGGGCTTGTTTTCTGTTTCAAAAAATAAAAAGTTTTCCTTTAAGGAAATTCTTGTTGGCATTTATATGTTCAGGGGATATTAATTCCTGCACTTAACAAGTATCTATTGTGAGCCTGCTCTGTGCCAGGCACTGCCCTGGCCCCAGAGGAAATAGCAGCAAACAAGAGATTTCGTTCCTGCTTACATTCCTAACAGGGGAGAAAAGGCAGAAACCAACTGTGTTTCACCACAGCAGCACCCACCTGGGGGCTTCCTAACGAGACATTGGACTCACATGACTTCTATAGGGGCTGCACCAGGGTTGTACAGTGGTCCACCCAGCAGCCCGGGACTTGCCTCCACCCTCAGACCCCACAGTGACTGCTCAGGTTTAAGGGCATGAGACCCATATTAGTGGATAACAGGATCTCCTTGGCATAGAAGCCCCAGGCCCCATAGGAGCCAATGTCCCTTATAACAGCCCAATGGGCACAGCTTCCAGGGTCCCCACAAGGATGTGCCAGGTGCAAGGACCACTGCTCGAAAGCCCAAACAGATGGCAACCCCACCAGGTGTTCAGAGGTTTTCCCAGTCCGGTTGCATTTCTAAATCAGAGATTATTTTTTTCATAAACAATGTGGCTGACACTCCACCTTTATCACATTTCCCAGAAACAGCCAAAATGATCTTAAGGTCAGAATCGTCCCTGGAAGGAGAAAGTGTTGTGTTAACCCTTTACTTGACAGTTACTTTTGTCAGAGGTGCTTTGAAGGTGTACAGAGAGTGAAGAGCATGTGCTGGAGATGCTGATATCACTGCTGTGCAGTCATTTGTTAGAGAGCAAATGTTAGTGCTCTTAACAGACCTAATACTCTGACACCCTCTTCATTTTGCAGATAAATAAGTCATCATGGTGAAAAGCCTTGTAGGCGGCTGGATCCTGCTTCTCTTTGTGGCCACATGGAGTGACGTGGGCCTCTGCAAGAAGCGACCGAAGCCTGGAGGATGGAATACCGGGGGGAGCCGGTACCCGGGGCAGGGAAGTCCCGGAGGCAACCGCTACCCACCCCAGGGCGGAGGCGGCTGGGGTCAGCCCCAGGGCGGTGGCGGCTGGGGTCAGCCCCATGGTGGTGGGTGGGGTCAGCCCCATGGTGGTGGAGGAGGCTGGGGACAGCCCCATGGTGGTGGAGGAGGCTGGGGTCAGCCACATGGTGGTGGCAGCCACAATCAGTGGAATAAGCCAAATAAGCCAAAAACCAACATGAAGCATGTGGCGGGAGCTGCCGCGGCCGGGGCAGTGGTGGGGGGCCTGGGTGGCTACATGCTGGGAAGTGCCATGAGCAGGCCCGCCATGCATTTTGGCAATGAGTATGAGGACCGTTACTATCGTGAAAACATGAACCGTTTCCCCGAACAAGTGTACTACAAGCCCGTGAATCAGTACAGCAACCAGAACAACTTTGTGCGTGACTGCGTCAACATCACGGTCAAGCAGCACACGGTCACCACCACCACCAAGGGGGAGAACTTCACCGAGACAGACGTCAAGATCATGGAGCGTGTGGTGGAGGAGATGTGCACCACCCAGTACCAGAAAGAGTACCAGGCAGCTTACCAAAGAGGGTCGAGCGTGGTCCTCTTCTCCTCCCCTCCTGTGATCCTCCTCATCTCTTTCCTCATTTTCCTAATAGTGGGGTGAGGGCAGCTTTTTGTTTGCGGGGGGAAAGGTGTCTACCTGCGGCCCTTTAGTGGTGGTGTCTCTTTCTTGCTTCTCTCTTTGTCACCCGTAATCCAATACCCTTGGCATTGATGGCACAGGGAAATGTAGAGCAGGCCTGGTACGCTATGTATTCAAGCCCCTTTTGATGGAGTCCCTCATGGGCTAGTGCCAGTGCCAGGCTGGTGAAAGTGTGATAGCAGATAATCATTCCATGATCTGGGCTTATTTTTTGCCTAGTGCAACACTGTGGCTAACATATTCTAAAAACAGTCCCCGAATACTTTTGCCTAGATTCCTCCGGCTCCTTGCCCCACTACAGCTCAGCACACTAATGCCCTGTCTTAGTTACCAGTATTCTTTTGTAGCAGTTTGGACACATTTTCTCATTCATTTTAAGCAAACCTGACTGCATTTGCCTGTTTAAACAGTATTTCTGCCAAATTTGGAAGGATTCTCATTGAGGAAACAGGGCTGGAAATCCTTAGCTCTTGGGCCCAGGCTCAGCCCTGTGTCTGCAGAGAACTGTGACATTCTTTTGCATTTCACAATATAGGCTACACAGCAGCTATTGCATCAAGAGTAAATATTCGTGCAACATTAGACTTCTGGGCAAAGGACATTTTAAAGGAAATGATCATAACTAACATGATACGAAAGGCTTCTGGGACTAAAAAATACAAAATTTGGGAGCGGTGTCTTTGGAGGGTACCTACATGTGGCATTCCATTAGCAACATCAACTAGATAATTAAGGCAGTTAAGAATAGATTAATTTCTGGACACTAAGTAAGAACAAATCTCCTTTGTTTGTTTACCTGGAAATAGGAATGATTTTGACACTGGGTGAAGCCAGGAGATATTAATATAGAGAAAACTAGCTGTAAAAACACCATTATCACAGAAAATGATGTAATGAAGAAAATGATAAAGTGTACAAAGAAATGCTTGCGTTTCTTCATTGCTGTCTCATAGTTGTCAAAAACCAGAATTAGGTTGAATCCTTCATCTCTATAATTGGCTTTTGAGTTGAAAAATAAGGAATACACAAAGAAAGAAATCTTAGGTTAGAGATGACAGAAATAAGATCTATTCTGAGTAGAAAAGAAGTTCTGTTTCTGTTATTTAAGTAAAGTAAAATTATTCCCTGGATCATTCAATATTATTGCCTAGCAGATCTATATTACTATTCTGCAATGTTATTGGCTTACTATGCGGGTATTCTATGTAATATATATATGTGCATATATATTGCATATGAGAAATTTTTGTTAGAGCACTTAACATCTGAAGTATCTAATGCATTACCTGTTTTGTAAGGTACTAAATATGTGGGAAACCCTTTGCGTGGTCCTTAGGCTTACCATGTGCACTGAATAGTTTTGTATAAGGATCCAAAGTGGTCTTTGAAATATGCATGTACTTTATATTTTCTATATTTGTAACTTTGCATGTACTTGATTTGTTGTAAAAAATTTATAAATGTTTAATATCTGACTATAATTAAACAGGAGCTGAAATGAGCCTCTTCTTTGGAGTTCACAGTTATAATCATTAGGCTGCTGGAGGCCACCAGGTGCTTGGGGCCGGGGCCCTTTCTCCCTAATTGTCCTGACAGATCTGCCCCTTTCCTCCCCGCTTCCCCTCTCTAAAAACTAACAATAAGCAAACAAGTCATTATCTCAAATGTTGTATTGGGCAAAGATATCAATTTCAGTTACTCTAACCCTTAACACCTTTAATGACCCCATGACTTTAGAAAACTTACGGGACCCCATTTTCATTGCCTTCCTTGCTGATTATACCATCTTCCACAGAGTGGGTGGCTTAAACAACAGGTTTATTTTCTCACCATTCTGGAGGTTGGAAGTATGAGATCAAGGTGTCTGCGGGATTGGTGTCTTCTGAGGCCTCTCTCCTGGGCTTGTGGATGGCCGTTTTCTTCCCTGTGTCTTTACATGATCTTCCCTCTGTCTCTATGTCCTAATCTTACCTAATAATAGACAAACATGTAAATTGACTATACCTCTGATATACCCACAGCCAATCAGAGTGAGTATGCAAATTAACCCAACAAAGATGGCGGATTGATTTGGATTGCAGGCGCGAGTGGCCAGGAGGGATGGGCCTCCTGCTATGAGGTGGTGGGGTAGGGCAGCAGAGGGAGCTATAGGAGCAGTGTGAGGACTTGCTGGCTCCCAGGCAGCTGGGAGTGAAGCCAGGGGAAGGAAGGCTTATTCTTGCATGAATATCATGCAATAGGCCTCTAGTCTTTTTGTAAGACCATCACTCATCATAGTGGGTTAAGGCCCAGCCTAACAGCCTCATTTTAACTTTTTACTCATTAAAGGTCCTATCTCCAAATATTCATTTTGAGGTATTGGGAACGACTTCAACATAGGAATTGTGTGGGAACACAATTCAACCCATAATACCATCTTTCCAGGAATGGTGTGGCAGTGTCACTCTCAACCAAGTTCAAAGGTATTACCAAAACTGTGAATGCCTTGTGGGGGCCCCATATTCACACACTCTGACAGGATTCTCCTAATAAAAATGCCATCTGGATTATTGTGTCCTCAACAGACTGGACTACTTCCCATCATCACTTCAATTAGGATTGTCAAAGGTGCCTACTCAGTGCCCATTGCAGAGCAAACAGAAATGCTTCATTCTGGGTCCAACAACTGAAATCTAGCCATCACCCCCATGCCTGGCACAAAATGAAGTGTTTCATGAGCAAATATGTTTATTTTGGCTCCTACAAAGGAAGATCTAAAACCTTAAGCCAGATAATGTGCCTCCTACACACAATACTCTGCAAACACACCTGGCATTTGAGTTACACTGATTGAGTTCATTAACATAAAACTGAGTGTTAGCTGTAACTCCATGGGTGCTATAGAACGCTGGCAAGATCCTATCACGCTGCCAAATTCCGAATGCTAGGCATGCCTATCACCCTACTCAGTAGCTGCCCACACATGGAATGTGTCCACTCAGGTTTCTCTATGGCCCTGGTTCACCTTCCCAAGGTGCCAACTCTAACATATAGGGAGAGCCTCACAGATCCCAGGCCCTCCACAAGACATCCGGTCTCCATGCCCATGGTAGAGACACAGACTAGAGAACCCAATGAAGATTTCTTTTTCTAGCTAATGCCTGTTTCCCCCGTTCTCTTGCATGTCTCTGCATCTCCTTTTATTCCACCCTCTGAAAAATGAAGAAAAGAATGAATAAATAGTTTCATGCTCAGACAAGTCCAGATCCCCTTCACACCCCCATAAAATCTGTCAGAGATCATTCTTAGCTTTGAGGATTTTAGGAGCAAGATTTTTCTCTCCCACCTATAGAAGAGGCCCATTGTGACTCTGCTACACATCTAATACCCACCAGCCGTGGCTGCTGCCTTCCCCAGAACATTCTAGGAAATGATCTCCATGAATACATTAGGACAGGCTGTTTGGCTCTGTTCATCCAAGTTATAGAAAATGCCCACGGAAAACCACCATCTTACCTTTGGCATAATCACATATATAACTGAACAACAGAAACAATGTCTTACTCAGTATCTCCTAGTGTGCGATAAAACCATAACATCAAATGGAAGAGCATATGTGTCCTTCAGGGTGAAGAGTGTAGACTGCACAATAGTATTCAACCATAATGAGGCTGGATGAAATTCTGATCCATGCTACAACACAGATGGATGTTACAAATGTTATGCTGAATGAAATAAACCAGACACAATGAGGTAAATATTATATGATTCACTTTAAATGAAATACTCAGGCTAGGTAAACCCAGACAGAAAGTAGACTCATGGTTGCCAGAAGTTGGAGAGGTGTGGGAACAACAATCGGCTGCTAATGGGGATGGGGTTTCTTTCTGGTGTGGTAAAGATATTTTGTAATCAATGAACAACTTTATGAATATGTTAATATCACTGAACTGTAAACTTTGAAATGGTGAATCTCATGGCATGTGAATTATATCTCAGTGAAGCTTTTTTTTTTTTTTTAAGTGTAGAACTACCTACCTAATAATAGAAATGATGAGAGAGTAGGGGGAGGTTTAGGTATTGTTTGGGATTTAACTTGTTATATGAACACTTCTGCCCACTTGTTTTTGTCACAAGTGTTCCTAGGAAATGTACATAAGCACTAATAGCCTCAGGTCAACCGTGTTTGTAAACTCTTGGCCCAAAGGTTTTCCTGGCCACACAGTATATGGAAGCTGAAAAATGTAATGTGACACGCTTGGCCTTTAAAAAGGTGACCACAGCAATACTACTTAACCACAGACTCCTTGAGTTTAAAACCTGCTAGCCTGTTCTGTGATATGTAATACTAGAAGATCAACTGGTATCAAGAGCTGATGGAACTTTAACTAGGTGAACAGACCTGTTACCCATATGTGGCAGAAATTCAGCCCCCTTCACTCACATTAAATACCAAGGATTTTTCAACAAAAGCTATGGGTCTTTGATGAATGGATGAACTAATGTCCTGACAAATTGCTTTGTGACAAGTCTAGTGATTACCGTTTCTACTAGATTACAAGTTGCTCATCATACAGACTAGCTCAACAACTCTCATCCCCCTGGTGGAAACTTGACCCCTTGCCCAAAGAAGGCATTTCTCCTCATTTCTCCGTCTGTCCAGCGGAGGTAGCCCCAGCTGTTCCTTCCCCATCTCATAGCCAAGTTATGCAGACTGGTAAGAACACACCCTTGCCTGCTATGAGCTAAGTCTTTGGCAAGACTGGGGAGTGTAAATACCACGCCTTGAAAAATGGAGACCTTCATTTGAGCCTCAGCATCTGAACTGCTCATATTACATCTCTGTCTTACTCATCTTGACCTGCTTGCCCTGTTCAGAGACCTTGCTGGATCCTTTGAGAACTGGATGCCCCATCTGAATCACACATGTGCTGTTTTGGCTTTCCCTCCATTGGTTCTCCTTCCATCTGGTTTTCCCTCGG